CACTCTACCAATGAAATCGAATCTGAAACATAATCGCATATCCTTCTCCAATACTTTGCAGCTTGTTGTACCGACTACTTCTTACTAAGAACTAAACGAAACAGAAAAAAAGATAACAAAACAGAAACAGATACAGAAAGAAACAGAATTGCCACAAAACTGAAAATTAAGCCAATTAATCAAAAAATAAACCAACTCTCGAACGACATCCATATGCAAAAACCGCATCTGCACCTGCACCTGCACCTCAAACCAGGCGGCGCCGCTCGATCCTTTGGGTGACATCAGTCGGGTCTGTGGCCGAGTGTGACTGTGCCTGTGTGTGTGTGTGTGCTGCGTGTGCCTCCCCTCCTTGACGCCTCGACGCCTGGTAGACTATAAATCAAAATAAACCCATAACTCTATAATTCTACGCTGAATAAAATCCCAATCGAAATCAAAATCCGTTCAGTGGCTTCAGGTTGCGCGTTTAGGTGTGTATGAACTATCCAAATTATCGCTAATCGTTAAGTGTCTATATCTCTGGTAATCTCTTTCGTTATTTGTTGTAAATGCAGCTCTGTTTGTCTGGTATGCAAATGTAGTCCTAAGTAAGATATATTATTGACCTGCCTGCATCTGTCTTGTCTTCCTCTCATCTGTCTATTTTTTATGCTTTCTCTGTTCTAAGTATTTTCCCCTGCAACTCGATTACTCCACCTCTTGCCTGAGCGTAAGCTTTAGTTTAGTTTATACATATTACTTTGCTGCATACCTAGTCTTGGCCCAGAGTTTGTCCCAGGCTTTAGCTAAAAGTTTGCCCTTCCCCACTTTTGCAGGAGCAGCAACAACAGGAGGCGGCCGTGGCAGCGTCAGCGTCTGGACAGCAACCGGTGCAGGTGCAGATCCTGCCCGATGGCCACATACACGGCAAGGTCATCAAGTACGAGATCTGCCGCAGTGTGCTGCCAGAGGATCAGGCCACAGCACAGCAACAGCAGCAGGCAGGCATGGATGTGGAGTAGTCGAGAGCACCTCGATGTGGAATGTAAATAAATGTAGATGACTAGGACACACGCACGGATACGAACATGGACACGGACACAGACATGGACATGGACACAGAGACAGACACGCACATCCCTCCCAGAAGTGTCCTCAACTTTGGCGCACGCGGCGATTCCCGTAACTGTAATGTTTTAGTTAGTTCTTAGGCTAGCGGATAAGTAATCGGATAATCGGATAAGTAAGCGTTACACACATGCATATACTACCTACCTACCACTTACATAGACCTATGTAACACCCTTTTACATATACATATACACAGACATATATATATATATATACATACATATATATATATATATATATATATTCGACATATATATAGACGTACGCGTAGTGTATCTGTTAATTTTGCGATGCGTTGGTCGCATCTAAAACATCAACCTGATTGCGTTGCGAGTTTTAAAGAATTACGTTCGATGGTTTAATGCATTACCCGACTTTTAATAACAAATATACAACCATATATAGGACTAACATATATGCTAGGTGTAAAATGTATACATATAAACAGAAACAAAAATATACATAGACCACTACGGATAGTTGTAGACACTAGCAGGCGTTGCACTTGAAGAATACGTAACCGGCTCCAGTGGGAGTTCAGTGGAGTGGGTGAGGAGCGTCGAGAGAGTGGAGCGTGGGCATTCCTGCCGAGACTCGAGCGATTGTACATACAAAAAATAGACCACAGAAGCAACGACCCGAAGAACAGAACAGGTCCGAGATGGAGTGTGAAGTGCAGTAGGTGCCTGGCACAGTAACTAGCTAACAGATACTATATCTAACACGAACCGCAGCAGGCATATAAAGCAAATCTTTAGACTTAAGAAACCGTAGGATACAATATTTACCACACACACACACATACTTAGGGAGAAGATGACGACACCAGCGTATCAAGGAGAAACTCAGAAAATAATCAGCATAAACAAGCAGCTACTTGCATTCACTGACCTTCCCCTCCCTGATCCCGAGATCAGATCAGATCAGATCCCACATGCCCCACATGCCCGTTCGGCGACGAATATCACACTGTAAAAAGTCTACTTTAAGACCGGAGAGTGCGTGGGCGTGGTGATGGTTGGGGTGGGTGTAGGCAGGAGTACGAGTAATTGGTAATTATCGCAATCTGATAAATGAAACAATAATTAATGAACCTACACTAAGCATATATTTTAATATGTAAGCCTTAAAGAAATACAAACAGAAAGTATGAATAATAATAAACAAAGAAAATGTGTGACTTTCGTGTTTGTCAAGGGACTCTGATCTTTTTCGCTGGACTATATGTAGAGGCTATTTCTTATCTAAACTTTCGTATAAAGCAACGATCGGGCAGTGTTCTACCTATATGTAGATAAGACTAGCGCCGCAAAACAGTTCTTTTCGGCTGCTTATGGCACTGTGGAACAATGTGATCTGAATGAGTCTTAAAGCATTCGGCAAGTGCTGTATTGTCGAAGGAACTTTCTTTGTGTCATATATGTATGTATTCTGTTTAGTCGTATGAATGAATAATCTATAAATATATTTGCTGATTAAACAAGCGAACGCAAACATTTGCCACTTTGCCTGTGAGTCAATTCCCGTGCCATTTCTCGACCGCAAATCCATCGAATAATTACGGTAGTACTGCTGCAAAGTCCCTCCTATGCAAATTCCATTCGAAAATTCGAGTTTGATAAGATAAAAACGAAATGCTTGGAATACCCGTACGGGTACTTGTGTAAGCACAATGTTTTGGCTAATGATTTTGGTGAGGCGCTTTTGCACTTCGTATATGGGAGGTTGTCTCCGGATAGGCCCGGGCACGTCGGAAACGTTCAACATGCGCCACCACCGACGCGGCGACCCGTAGTCATTACAATTCATTGATCAGCGAGTACTTTTAATTGTTTATAATTTTTTGAGCGACGAGTATAGTATAATTTATTCCACTGCTACGTGACTGGGCCTCTCCATGCCCATATGGGCATCGGTTGCACATAGTTGGACAGTTTGGCAGCGAGAAAATGCTGTTTGCAGGCCCTGCCCTAAAAGTACATTGTGTAATGGTCCAGTACTCGTAAAAACTGATTCGGAGATCCGAGTTATTTCGGCCGCCTGCCAAATAAGGGCCGACATGGACACGTTACCTTGGAGTGCATTTCGGTTTATTGTTGAATTAAAATTAATTGAACTTGGGGCTACAGCAGCAACTACTCCGACTGCCAAAAGTTGCGCATAAATTTCGTGTACGCCTCTGTCAGTGTCGCCTCAGAATTCAATTTCAATTCCAAGGAAATCTGTGAGACGGCGAGATGTCATCATCTACAGTCGCTACAGTAGAGATCTGCTGGGATGCGTATCTAATTAGTCACTCCGCAAACGAGCACTGCACCCAGTGGCATAGTTTCCAATTGGCATTTGATCTGAATTGTAACTTGTCCCAGTTCCAGAGCCAGGTCTAGTTCCAGCTGCAGGTCCCATTTGCCCCATGCCCATGCCCATGTCTGGGCGTCCGCTCTGTTCGTGTTCTCTGCTCTGTAAATGCTAAGCAGTCTCCACTGTATTCTCCACTTAATTTTGCATTGTATCTTTTCTCTATTTGTGTGTTTTCGTGTGCTTTTATTATGTGTGCTTCGGCGGCAAACAAGTTTTGATTGCTTTTGGCTTCGCATGAAAATGAGCTTCAGCACAGAGCCGACCCGTCGTTGCTCATACGACGCGTATGACGTCAGTCTTGAATTAGGCAAGAATTGGGACTGTTTTTCTTGATAGACCTGCCGGGTATACGTAACTTGTATTCACTTGTACTCGTCCACCCTCGATCCGGAGGCCGAGCCGGGGTTCTCTTGGGAGGCACTCCCACTTTGGGCATAGCCGCTTGCCGATACTTTTCATTCGCACCCACCAAAGGCCGTTATAAATCAATTGGGCCATTGCTCATATATAAATCTTGATCCGAATGGAGCTTACTCAGCTCTCTGGTCGGCTCTGGAGCTTGGGGTCTGGTCTGGTCTGGACTGGTATTGGCGGGGGCGCCCACGTAGCGCCGTCGGGCTAGACGAGTGAAAAAGTATCTCCAAACCTGGCGAACATGCTGCTGCTGACTAATCAACGTCAGATACTATTCATAATTTAATTGTGCATCCGCCAGACACAGTCGGAGACCAATTTTGTATTTGCCGATCTGGGTTTTAGGATGGTTCTGCGCAGGCGCACGCCCTGCACCTTCGTGTGTGTCTGCCCGCCTCTCTGCTTCTGGCTCTCAATGTCCCTCTTTGTTGGCAGTCTGTCGGTCATCATACATCTGTTTGTTTTGTTTTATGGCCACTTTCACAAAAGATCGATATTCGTGTTGTGTTTATTACCCGTATCTCTCGCATAGGGTATTATGATTTTTAACAGAACTTTGCCGGAAAGTAATCGAAGTGAACGGCTTCATATAGCATACTCATATTCATGTCGATTTCTGTGCAATATTATCCCTATATTTGACAGAAATTAGCTGGAAGAACATATGATTAATTTGATCAACATTTCATGACTAAATTATATAAGAACGATCGCTCTGCAAGGGTATTCAAAGCGTCGATCGTTGAATCTAATGGCTTCCTTTCTTATTGGCTTATTGAACTCGGAGTTTGTGTTTCGTGGCAGCCAAAAGCGGCAAAGCGGCCTACGCATCCGTCAGATACTCTGCCATACCTACGCTTCGCAGCCGCAGCCGCATTCGCAGTCGCTGCTCTGGCCTGGCTTTTTGCGAAGGCGTTATGCCTCTCCCGTTCCCGTTCCCACTCGCAAACGCTCATGAGTCCAAAGCTCCAACGACCGAAAACCCACAAACGCTGCTGCTGCCACTGCTGCTGCTTTCGAGTGGTGGCAGTGCACAGATAGTCGCTCGAAAGCCGTTCCAGACGCGATCAGTACGTTTTGAGTTGTGGTTCGCGACGGTTGCTGATCTTCCAGTGCTCCCAAGAAAAAAAACGAAAACCGAAAAGTATCTCCTCCCCTCAAGCCTCTTTATCTCCATCTCCGAGTGATCTCCATCTCTATCTGTATCTCTATCTGTGGCTGCATCTGTAACTCTCTCCCGTGAGAGTCTTGCGAGTGCGCTGGTGTGCGTGTCCGAGTGTGAGCGTGTGCTAAGCTTTTTGCTGTCGCCTATCTGTGAGGGTATTGGTGCTTCGGCCTGAACTATGGTTCGCGTGTTCGTGTGCGTCTAACACTCGTACGTATCGTAATTTAAAAATAAGTATTTCGACATTCCGCCGTGGAAACTATGTGACATACCAGTCCAGATCCCCATAAGCACCACAACGAAAAAACGAAACAAAACGATCTATACCGCGAAATATTATTAATAACCCCTCTAAGGGCCAAGAGCAGCGATCATTGTGATTAACAAACGAACCCCGACCCCAAATTAGCCCCAAAAAGCAACCAGGTGCAACACCAGTCACTCAGTCTCTCAGCGATTACCTCATCTGTGTCAAAATGGTATCAAAAAACAGTAAAAAGAAACAAGTGTCGCAGCAGCAGCAGCAGCAGCCGCCAGCCACATCGACCACAACCACATCGTCGTCGGCTACGGCCACGAAGCTCACCAAACAACTGGGACCCGACGCTACAGCGACCCTCACCACTAAGAGCAGCTCCACCTCGATGGAGCACGAGTCCGTCTCGTACGGAGAGCCAGTGGCGAGCACCTCATCCTCCACTCCTGTGCTGGCGGCCAGCACTGCATCCTCGTCTCCCATGCCTGCGGCTGGTGTCAGGAGCTACAGCCGCAGCAGCAAGAGCAAGGCAGCCATGTCAAGCTCCCAATCCTCATACACAGAGAAATCTCAGTCCAAGTTACAATCCCAATCCCAATCCCAGTCGGAGCAGTTTAGCAGCAGCAGCAGCAGCACCGCCAAGATTTCCAGGGATTACTCCAACGAGAAGATCATTGCCTCGATCGATCTGCTGGAGAGTGAGAAGAAGGAGCCAGTGTTCTCTGTCCCCATCGAGGTGGTAGAGATCACAACGCCCACGCTCTCCATGTCAGCCAGCGGCGGCAGCCTCTCCAAGATGTACACGTCCTCTTCCATGTCTTCCAGTCAGCAGCGGCAGCAGCAGCAGGCGAGCAGCAGCTCCACTTACTTCGCCTCCACAACCAGTTCCAGCTCCAATCGGAGCGCCAATGAAACGCTCATTGCAAGCGAGAGAGCCGACACAGCGGCTACCGGTATGACATCATCCGGTGCGAGGAAACAGGTTGGCTTTGACACGAGCAGTAGCACCAATACCAATACCAACATCAGTGTTGATGTCAATACCAATACCAACACTAACACCAACACCAAGAGTACCAGCAGCAGCAGCAGCAAAAGCTTCAGTGAATCTCAGAGCGTGCCAAAGCTACCACCAGCCAGCGGAACAGCTGACGGGCCCACATCGGTGACGTCATCAAGTTGCCCCGAACCGGTTGCCGCGCCGTCTGCCGTGACCACAACAAAGGGGACGTCATCCACCTCGCAGAACGATAAACTGGAACAGCTGTCGGGAACGACAACAGCTGTGGACCACAACAAAGCCACTTCATCGACATCCAAAAAAGAGGTCAGCGAGAGCACCACACGGAGCAGCTCTAGCAGCACCAAGCAGTCCACATCGTCGTCCAAGAAGGAGGTGTATGACGTGAAGACCAAGACCTGGACCGAGCTTAGCGATGGCACCAACCCCCATCCTGGGGGCAACACAAGCAAGCCCACCTTTGAGCGGTACGTCAGCAAGGAGTCGGACGGTAGCTGCAAGGTGACGTACAAGAAGAAGATATACGACAGGCGCAACAATAGGTGGCGCGTGGTTGACGAACGGACTGTGGACAGCACCGCTGACCGGGGCTATCCCGAAATAGTCGATGATGTCATCAACACAACCACCACAACATACACCACCAAGGTGTACGACACGAAACTCGGCAAGTGGACGGTCGTCGACGAGAAGTCGTACAGAGATAGCAAAGCTTTCGTGCCCAATGACATTGCTCGTGAAATCGAGAAAGATAATACCGATGTGGCAAACATAACAACTACCACGGAGGTAACAAAGGTAAGTCATAGATTGTGCGTGACGGGGCGGCACACCAGCCATTCCACACCCAAAGCCCACGCCATTCCCATGGGTGTGTTCCTCTGTGGATATTTTTTCATATGTTGAACTTGCTTTCTATTAGATATTCGATGCGAGCATCAACGATTGGCGTGTTCTGGACGAGAAGGTGCACACGGATGTCATTGAGAAGATTGTAGAGACCCCCAAGAAGACCATCTACGTGGATGAATTTGTGGAGATTGAGAAGAACACCTCGATTTCGGAGAACAATGAGAACATAACCCTGAATCTGAACGAAACATCGAAACACAAAAATATTACCGAAAATATTTATGATGAAATCGATTATGTGCGCACCGATAAGAAACGCTTAGACGATTCAAGAAACGTAAGTAGATTATTTTACATATGTGCGATAGTACTTGAAGAATAATTCATATACATTCTGTCCCCCAGCGTGGAGTCGTCAAGAACAAAAATACTACGCATAGCGAGCGGTGCATCTGTGAGATCTGCACATGCGGGTAAGAATCGCATAATGAATCCATAGAGGACTTCTTTCAACTATTATTCTTCGCATTTCAGACGACATCACTGCTCAACCAGCACAACTAAATCAACAGAAAACACAATCATTGAAACCGATGGCAAGTATAATTGTATTAAACCAAGATTTTCGTATATTAATCATTTGAATTCTCAACAGATACCCTCGAGGAAGCATACACAAGAGTACGTACAAATACCTGGTCGAAGAGAGACAATGGAAACATTCCCAAGCCAAACGAAGACATATTAGTGGACTACGTAGTTATAAAGAAGCCAGAAGATAATCTAAAGCCAGAAGGAGACTTCGTAGTCCCACCAAAAGAGCCATACAAGCCCGGCGAGAGGCGTGAGAAAATTGTGCACACTGACAATTTGCGGACAGAGGGAGAAATGACCTTCAACGAGAGGGAGGAGTATCAATACACCGTCCGTCCTGAATATAAGAAGCCGACGGACAACCTTAAGCCCGAGGGCGAGTTTTACAGCCCAGAGAAGCCAAAATATCAGCCTGGAGACCGCCCAACACAAGTACGACACAAGGATAACTTGCGGCCTGAAGGTGACTTCTATACGCCCGACAAGAAGGGCTATACACCAGCCGATCGACCCACCCAAAAGAAACCCGTGGATAACCTCAAGACGGAGGGAGAATTCCTTACGCCGGAAAAACCCACCTATCGGCCAGGAGAAAGATCAGAGAAAATTATTCGCAGCGACAACTTGCGCACCGAAGGAGAAATGACTTTTGTGGAGAAGCAGGAGTACCAATATGTGGTTCGACCAGGACAAATAAAGCCCACTGATAACCTCAAACCAGAGGGTGAATTTTACAGTCCGGAGAAACCGAAGTACAGACCAGGCGATCGTCCAACACAAGTTAGGCATGAAGACAATCTGAAACCCGAAGGCGACTTCTACACTCCAGAAAAACCAGGATACAAGCCTAGTGAACGTCCATCTCAAGTGCGACCTGAGGATAATCTTCGACCTGAGGGAGAGTTCTACACACCGGATAAACCAGGATTCAGACCCGCCGAGAGGCCAGTACAGAAGAAACCAGAAGATAACCTAAAAACCGAGGGAGATTTCTACAGTCCCGAAAAGCAGAAGTATACGCCAGGAGAACGTCCAACCCAGGTCAGACCTGAAGACAATCTGAGACCTGAGGGAGAATTCTACAGTCCCGAGAAACCCAAGTACAGACCTGGTGAACGTCCATCGCAAGTCAGACCTGAAGACAATCTCCGACCTGAGGGAGAGTTCTACACTCCGGATAAACCTGGATTCAAACAAGCTGAGCGGCCGGTCCAGAAGAAACCAGTGGACAATCTGAAGCCCGAAGGAGAGTTTACGAAGCCTGAGAAACAGGTTTACAAACCTGCTGATAAGAACGAAAGGATCATTCGTAAGGACAACCTACGTAGCGAAGGTGAAATGACGTTCGTTGAGAAACAGGAGTATCAATACGTGGTACGACCCGATCAAGTCAGACCTACGGATAACTTGAAGCCCGAGGGTGACTTCTACAGTCCCGAAAAGCAGAAGTATACGCCAGGAGAACGTCCAACCCAAGTCAGACCTGAAGACAATCTCCGACCTGAGGGAGAGTTCTACACTCCGGATAAACCAGGATTCAGACCCGCTGAGAGACCTGTTCAGAAGAAGCCGGAGGATAATCTGAAACCCGAGGGAGATTTCTACAGTCCCGAAAAGCAGAAGTATACGCCAGGAGAACGTCCAACCCAAGTCAGACCTGAAGACAATCTGAGACCTGAGGGAGAATTCTACAGTCCCGAGAAACCCAAGTACAGGCCAGGTGAACGTCCATCGCAAGTCAGACCTGAAGACAATCTCCGACCTGAGGGAGAGTTCTACACTCCGGATAAACCAGGATTCAGACCTGCTGAAAGACCTGTTCAGAAGAAGCCGGAGGATAATCTAAAACCCGAAGGAGATTTCTACAGTCCCGAAAAGCAGAAGTATACACCAGGAGAACGTCCAACCCAGGTCAGACCTGAAGACAATCTGAGACCTGAGGGAGAATTCTACAGTCCCGAGAAACCCAAGTACAGACCAGGTGAACGTCCATCGCAAGTCAGACCTGAAGACAATCTCCGACCTGAGGGAGAGTTTTACACTCCGGATAAACCTGGATTCAGACCCGCTGAGAGACCAGTCCAAAAGAAACCCGTGGACAATTTGAAGCCCGAAGGAGAGTTTACGAAGCCTGAGAAACAGGTTTACAAACCTGCTGATAAAAACGAAAGGATCATTCGTAAGGACAACCTACGTAGCGAAGGTGAAATGACGTTCGTTGAGAAACAGGAGTATCAATACGTGGTACGACCCGATCAAGTCAGACCCACGGATAACTTGAAGCCCGAAGGTGACTTCTACAGTCCCGAAAAGCAGAAGTATACGCCAGGAGAACGTCCAACCCAAGTCAGACCAGAAGACAATCTCCGACCTGAGGGAGATTTCTACACTCCGGATAAACCAGGATTCAGACCCGCTGAGAGACCTGTTCAGAAGAAGCCGGAGGATAATCTGAAACCCGAGGGAGATTTCTACAGTCCCGAAAAGCAGAAGTATACGCCAGGAGAACGTCCAACCCAAGTCAGACCTGAAGACAATCTGAGACCTGAGGGAGAATTCTACAGTCCCGAGAAACCCAAGTACAGGCCAGGTGAACGTCCATCGCAAGTCAGACCTGAAGACAATCTCCGACCTGAGGGAGAGTTCTACACTCCGGATAAACCAGGATTCAGACCTGCTGAAAGACCTGTTCAGAAGAAGCCGGAGGATAATCTAAAACCCGAAGGAGATTTCTACAGTCCCGAAAAGCAGAAGTATACACCAGGAGAACGTCCAACCCAGGTCAGACCTGAAGACAATCTGAGACCTGAGGGAGAATTCTACAGTCCCGAGAAACCCAAGTACAGACCTGGTGAACGTCCATCGCAAGTCAGACCTGAAGACAATCTCCGACCTGAGGGAGAGTTTTACACTCCGGATAAACCCGGATTCAGGCCCGCTGAGAGACCAGTCCAAAAGAAACCAGTGGACAATTTGAAGCCCGAAGGAGAGTTTACGAAGCCTGAGAAACAGGTTTACAAACCTGCTGATAAAAACGAAAGGATCATTCGTAAGGACAACCTACGTAGCGAAGGTGAAATGACGTTCGTTGAGAAACAGGAGTATCAATACGTGGTACGACCCGATCAAGTCAGACCCACGGATAACTTGAAGCCCGAAGGTGACTTTTACAGTCCCGAAAAGCAGAAGTATACGCCAGGAGAACGTCCAACCCAAGTCAGACCTGAAGACAATCTCCGACCTGAGGGAGATTTCTACACTCCGGATAAACCAGAATTCAGACCCGCTGAGAGACCTGTTCAGAAGAAGCCGGAGGATAATCTGAAACCCGAGGGAGATTTCTACAGTCCCGAAAAACAGAAGTATACGCCAGGAGAACGTCCAACCCAAGTCAGACCTGAAGACAATCTCCGACCTGAGGGAGAGTTTTACACTCCGGATAAACCCGGATTCAGGCCCGCTGAGAGACCAGTCCAAAAGAAACCAGTGGACAATTTGAAGCCCGAAGGAGAGTTTACGAAGCCTGAGAAACAGGTTTACAAACCTGCTGATAAAAACGAAAGGATCATTCGTAAGGACAACCTACGTAGCGAAGGTGAAATGACATTCGTTGAGAAACAGGAGTATCAATACGTGGTACGACCTGATCAAGTCAGACCGACGGATAACCTGAAGCCCGAGGGTGACTTCTACAGTCCCGAAAAGCAGAAGTATACGCCAGGAGAACGTCCAACCCAAGTCAGACCTGAAGACAATCTCCGACCTGAAGGAGAATTCTACAGTCCCGAGAAACCCAAGTACAGACCAGGTGAACGTCCAACGCAAGTCAGACCTGAAGACAATCTCCGACCTGAGGGAGAGTTTTACACTCCGGATAAACCTGGATTCAGACCCGCTGAGAGACCAGTCCAAAAGAAACCCGTGGACAATTTGAAGCCCGAAGGAGAGTTTACGAAGCCTGAGAAACAGGTTTACAAACCTGCTGATAAAAACGAAAGGATCATTCGTAAGGACAACCTACGTAGCGAAGGTGAAATGACGTTCGTTGAGAAACAGGAGTATCAATACGTGGTACGACCCGATCAAGTCAGACCGACGGATAACCTGAAGCCCGAGGGTGACTTCTACAGTCCCGAAAAGCAGAAGTATACGCCAGGAGAACGTCCAACCCAAGTCAGACCAGAAGACAATCTCCGACCTGAGGGAGAGTTCTACACTCCGGATAAACCAGGATTCAGACCCGCTGAGAGACCTGTTCAGAAGAAGCCGGAGGATAATCTGAAACCCGAGGGAGATTTCTACAGTCCCGAAAAGCAGAAGTATACGCCAGGAGAACGTCCAACCCAAGTCAGACCTGAAGACAATCTGAGACCTGAGGGAGAATTCTACAGTCCCGAGAAACCCAAGTACAGACCTGGTGAACGTCCATCGCAAGTCAGACCTGAAGACAATCTCCGACCTGAGGGAGAGTTTTACACTCCGGATAAACCTGGATTCAGACCCGCTGAGAGACCAGTCCAAAAGAAACCCGTGGACAATTTGAAGCCCGAAGGAGAGTTTACGAAGCCTGAGAAACAGGTTTACAAACCTGCTGATAAAAACGAAAGGATCATTCGTAAGGACAACCTACGTAGCGAAGGTGAAATGACGTTCGTTGAGAAACAGGAGTATCAATACGTGGTACGACCCGATCAAGTCAGACCGACGGATAACCTGAAGCCCGAGGGTGACTTCTACAGTCCCGAAAAGCAGAAGTATACGCCAGGAGAACGTCCAACCCAAGTCAGACCTGAAGACAATCTTCGACCTGAAGGAGAATTCTACAGTCCCGAGAAACCCAAGTACAAACCAGGTGAACGTCCAACGCAAGTCAGACCTGAAGACAATCTCCGACCTGAAGGAGAGTTCTACACTCCGGATAAACCTGGATTCAGACCCGCTGAGAGACCAGTCCAAAAGAAACCCGTGGACAATTTGAAGCCCGAAGGAGAGTTTACGAAGCCTGAGAAACAGGTTTACCAACCTGCTGATAAAAACGAAAGGATCATTCGTAAGGACAACCTACGTAGCGAAGGTGAAATGACGTTCGTTGAGAAACAGGAGTATCAATACGTGGTACGACCCGATCAAGTCAGACCGACGGATAACCTGAAGCCCGAGGGTGACTTCTACAGTCCCGAAAAGCAGAAGTATACGCCAGGAGAACGTCCAACCCAAGTCAGACCTGAAGACAATCTCCGACCTGAGGGAGAATTCTACAGTCCCGAGAAACCCAAGTACAGACCAGGTGAACGTCCAACGCAAGTCAGACCTGAAGACAATCTCCGACCTGAGGGAGAGTTCTACACTCCGGATAAACCTGGATTTAAACCTGCTGAGAGACCTGTCCAGAAGAAGCCGGAGGATAATCTGAAACCCGAGGGAGATTTCTACAGTCCCGAAAAGCAGAAGTATACGCCAGGAGAACGTCCAACCCAGGTCAGACCTGAAGACAATCTGAGACCTGAGGGAGAATTCTACAGTCCCGAGAAACCCAAGTACAGACCTGGTGAACGTCCATCGCAAGTCAGACCTGAAGACAATCTCCGACCTGAGGGAGAGTTTTATACTCCGGATAAACCTGGATTCAGACCCGCTGAGAGACCAGTCCAAAAGAAACCCGTGGACAATTTGAAGCCCGAAGGAGAGTTTACGAAGCCTGAGAAACAAGTTTACAAACCTGCTGATAAGAACGAACGGATCATTCGCAAGGACAACCTACGTAGCGAAGGTGAAATGACGTTCGTTGAGAAACAGGAATATCAATACGTGGTACGACCCGATCAAGTCAGACCCACGGATAACCTGAAGCCCGAGGGTGACTTCTACAGTCCCGAAAAGCAGAAGTATACGCCAGGAGAACGTCCAACCCAAGTCAGACCTGAAGACAATCTCCGACCTGAGGGAGAGTTCTACACTCCGGATAAACCAGGATTCAGACCCGCTGAGAGGCCTGTTCAGAAGAAGCCGGAGGATAATCTGAAACCCGAGGGAGATTTCTACAGTCCCGAAAAGCAGAAGTATACGCCAGGAGAACGTCCAATCCAGGTCAGACCTGAAGACAATCTGAGACCTGAGGGAGAATTCTACAGTCCCGAGAAACCCAAGTACAGACCAGGTGAACGTCCATCGCAAGTCAGACCTGAAGACAATCTCCGACCTGAGGGAGAGTTTTACACTCCGGATAAACCTGGATTCAGACCCGCTGAGAGACCAGTCCAAAAGAAACCCGTGGACAATTTGAAGCCCGAAGGAGAGTTTACGAAGCCTAAGAAACAGGTTTACAAACCTGCTGATAAAAACGAAAGGATCATTCGTAAGGACAACTTACGTAGCGAAGGTGAAATGACGTTCGTTGAGAAACAGGAGTATCAATACGTGGTACGACCCGATCAAGTCAGACCGACGGATAACCTGAAGCCCGAGGGTGACTTCTACAGTCCCGAAAAGCAGAAGTATACGCCAGGAGAACGTCCAACCCAAGTAAAACCTGAAGACAATCTCCGACCTGAGGGAGAATTCTACAGTCTCGAGAAACCCAAGTACAGACCAGGTGAACGTCCATCGCAAGTCAGACCTGAAGACAATCTCCGACCTGAGGGAGAGTTCTACACTCCGGATAAACCTGGATTCAAACCAGCTGAGCGGCCGGTCCAGAAGAAGCCCGTGGACAATCTGAAGCCCGAAGGAGAATTTACGAAGCCTGAGAAACAGGTTTACAAACCTGCTGATAAAAACGAAAGGATCATTCGTAAGGACAACCTACGTAGCGAAGGTGAAATGACGTTCGTTGAGAAACAGGAGTATCAATACGTGGTACGACCTGATCAAGTCAGACCCACGGATAACTTGAAGCCCGAGGGTGACTTCTACAGTCCCGAAAAGCGGAAGTATACGCCAGGTGAACGTCCAACGCAAGTCAGACCTGAAGACAATCTCCGACCTGAGGGAGAGTTCTACACTCCGGATAAACCAGGATTCAGACCCGCTGAAAGGCCTGTCCAAAAGAAGCCGGAGGATAATCTGAAACCCGAGGGAGATTTCTACAGTCCCGAAAAGCAGAAGTATACGCCAGGAGAACGTCCAATCCAGGTCAGACCTGAAGACAATCTAAGACCTGAGGGAGAATTCTACAGTCCCGAGAAACCCAAGTACAGACCAGGTGAACGTCCATCGCAAGTCAGACCTGAAGACAATCTCCGACCTGAGGGAGAGTTTTACACTCCGGATAAACCTGGATTCAAACCCGCTGAGAGACCAGTCCAGAAGAAACCCGTGGACAATTTGAAGCCCGAAGGAGAGTTTACAAAGCCTGAGAAACAGATTTACAAGTCGGGCGACAGAACTACCAAGATAATCCAGAAGGACAACTTACGAACGGAAGGTGAAATGACGTTCGTTGAGAAGAAGGAATATCAATATGTCGTACGACCAGAGCAAGTAAAACCATCGGATAACTTAAAGCCGGAAGGAGAGTTCTTCAGCCCCGACAAACCCAAATACCAGCCCGGCGAGCGAGTTACCGTTGTGCGGCAGAAGGATAACTTAAAGGTGGAGGGAGAGTTTTACGCGCCTGACAAACCAGACTTCCAGCCTGCCGAAAGGCCCAAGCAAAAGAAGCCCCATGATAATTTAAAACCAGAGGGAGAGATGATTATGCCAGAAAAAATTAAATACAAGCCCGCCGATAAAGTTAATAGAGTGGTTCACAAGGATAATCTCCGTTCCGAAGGAGAGATGACTTTCACAGAGAAAACTGAATATCAACACGTCATTAGACCCTCCCCGGTTAGGCCGGAGGACAATCTGAAGACCTCGGGTAAGTTCTACGTACCAGAAAAGCCAGCAGTTACAAACGGGGATCGCCCCGAGGCGGTAAGACCCAAGGATAACCTGAAGCCAGAAGGGATTATGTACACCCCTGAAAAGCCGAAATACGAGCCTGCCTCCCGACCAGAGCAGAAGAGGTATGTGGACAACCTAAAGCCCGAGGGCAAGATGCACATGCCTGAGAAGGAAGCGTTCAGGCCGGCAGATAGAGTGACGACAGTCATCAGAAAGGATAACCTGAAGACCGAGGGGGAAATGACCTTCACACAAAAGGACGTGTATCATCATGTAAAGCGGCCCGAACAGGTGAAGCCGTGCGACAACCTGAAAGTCGAAGGAGAATTCTTCACACCTGATAAGAAACCCTTCCGTCCAGCCGAGCGGCCCATCCAAAAGAAGCCAAAGGACAACTTGAAACCGGAGGGAGAATTCTACAGGCAAAGCGACCGCACGGAGACCGACAGCACAACGGTAGAAACTACAAAACGAGAGACCGCTAAGCGACCGGTGGATAACCTCAAGCTGGAAGGTTCCATGACAGTGACCCGCAAGGATGATTATAAAAAGGAGACCAACAAGACCACGGTAGAGCAGGTTCAGCGGACACAGAAGTACCAGCACAACAGCTCCTCCATCAGCCTGGGAACCGACACCGCCATCCGCAAGACCACCAACCAGATGAACTATGTGTCCGGCAAGGATGCTGTCAAGCAGGTGGATTCCAACAGTCAGAACCCAGTGGACGGTCTTATTGTTGTGTCCACCACGAAGGTGACCACCGTTATAGGAGGCCGCCACAAGGAGCCCGAAACCGAGTACGTGAAGCGCCCAGCCAAGATAAACGTGATCGAGAACGTGGCCAAAAACACTACGACCACAAACATCGAGAACACCCAAAACATCCATAAAGAAACCACCTCGATGCAGAGGAGCCACAATGTCGTCGAGAATAGTGCAGTGAACACTGTGAATACTGCAGTCCGTGGATCGGACATCTCCAGCAAGGCCCTCCAAACCAGCACTACGAATCGTGGAGGTCAGATCAGCAGGGACACGACTGGAGACTCCACCTCCCGTGTAGTGTCGAGAAAAACCGTCTCGAACAACATAACTGGAGATTCCACGACTCGAGTGGTCTCTGGAAAAACACTCACCAGCAACGTTACCGCAGACTCCACTTCAAAGGTAGTGTCCGGAAGGAATGTCTCGAGCAACATTACTGGGGATTCATCCGCTCGCATGGTTTCTGGCAGAAACGTCACCACTAATATAATTGGTGACTCGTCTTCCCGCATGGTAGCCGGTGGCCAAAACGTGATTGATGACTCAACATCACGAGTGATCTCGGGCGACAGGACCTCCAGCCACAACATTGTTACCGGCAGCTCCACATCCCATACGAGCTCCTCCAAGCACTTCCATCACCGCAAGAGCGAGTTCTCCTCGGAGGCGGATGTCTCGAATACGATCTTCCATCGGAAGAACGCCGCCACCGACTCGGCAGCAGCCAATGGCAGCAGTCTCACTTCAAACGGAAAGATGATGCGGAAGAGTATTTTGAATTTGCACGAGCAACCCTCCAGCACGCCCCATGCCAGCGATCGTCAGAGCTATAGCAGCATCCACCGGCAGAACCGGGAGTCGGACCAGAACACCAGCTTCTCCAGTGAGCGCCGCAGCTGCAGTGTCCACAAGGAAAACAGGGAGAGCAACGTGAAGAACTCTTCGTCCATGTCCCGAATCATATCCGGAGGAAGCACTGCCACTGCCACAGACAACAGATCAACTGTCACACGCACCCAAGTGTTGGGCGGTGGCATCGATTTTCCCTCCCAATCTCACACCCATGTGGGAGCCCATGGCAGGCGCCACCACCATGTATCCACTTCCAGCGGCGGCATCGATTTTCCCTCTTACAGTGCCCACGGACACACCGAACGGGTGGTCACCCGTAGGGGCAACCAGTCCTCCATCAGCCTCGGCAACGACACAAAGTGTACGGGATCGAGTCAGTACAAGAGCGAGTACATCACAGCCCCGAGCACCACCTGTGCAGTGCATAATATTAAGAAAGGTGCATTCCAACATACCAGGAGTACTCAAGAACACAAGTTCTTCAAGACCTCAAACTAACAATTAATAACATCCATATCAAATCCCAAATTAACGTGTAATAGTGCATAAGTTTCCATGACAATATATCTTTTATACAATATACAAGCCGATCCGAAAATCCAGATTAACAAATAAATATCATTTTTCAAAAACAAAAAAAACTGTTTCAATTTGTTTTGGATCAACTTGAGAGATGACGTCTTTATTGAGAGTTTAAAATAGGCTAGTGTCGTTTTTAGGACTAGTGTGTATAGGTAACTGTATATTTAAACGTTAAAAAAATCTGCACAATGGTTTCTATCTATAACATACATACATTTAGATCCGTATCTGTATAATGGTGTACAGTTTATTGTTAAATTTCTTCAATTTTTCTATATTTCATAATGCGCGTTAGTACAATAAATATTTCTCTTTTCGTATGTGTATATATTTAATTATATATCAATCGATTCACTTATCCTTTACTTCATCATATATGATAAAGCATTATTATACGTGTTTGGAAGACATTTGTTCGCTTGTTTGGAAGACTTGCGTTTCGTTTCGTTTCTTATAGACTAATATTATTGTTTTCGTTTCGAGTTTTTTTGATGAACAGATCTAGGATTTTGGAACACCTTTGGGCACAGCCAGATGATGCCGTAGCAACTGGAAGACATGCCATGCCCGAGAGGACCAATAAGCCTAGATCTACTTCGATTGGTGGATGTGTAAATAGTGGATACAACTTAAAACGGAAGACCGATCTCGAATGCATTTATCATGGCATTACCCGAATCGTAGATGCCGATGACGCCGAAGAGCACGCCTAGGGCAATGATGAGGTAGTCTTTAGCTAATTCCTTCTGGTCGAGCAGGTGACCCTTAATCTTGATGTGGAAATAGCAGGGCCAGATGAAGCTGAGCATGGTGCCCGTGAAGCTGCCAATGAAGCCCATCAGGATGGAGAAGTGGGGAATGAAGATGGCCATCAGGATGGTCGATACGATGACGGCCACACGGAAGCCCAGACCCCAGACTTTCAGCTCTCCGTCGAGGTTCCAGATGGTCGGGAACTTGGTCTTCGGCGGGCCGCGGAAGAAGTTCCGCTCGAGCAACTCGCAGGCGGCGTAGTATGGCAAGGGGTAGCTGAGGATGGCCTTGATTACCAGGAAGAAGTTTACCATACCCTTGAAGCCCTGCGAGTGCAAGTTGTTGGTAATCACCTGCTGCGTGTCGTTCTGAAATGTCAGAAAGCAGATGTACCCAAACCCGGCCTTGAACACGGCCGCCGCGATATGCGACCAATCGAGCATCCAGTTGAACTTGGAGCGGTCTGTCATGTTGCCCTCGAGCGTGGGCAGGAAAATCTGGGAGGTGTAGGAGAAGACGATCACACCCAGCGAGATGGGGAAGTTCTCCATGTCGATGCTGAAGCGCACCTTCGACCAGCCCCAGTCGCCGATCTGCAGCAGGCAGTAGCCGAGGATCACCGCGTTTATCACGATGTGGGACATGGTGCACCAAAAGGACAGGGTCGAGACCATCTTCAGGGACTTGAGGAAGCCCATCGGCAGTAAGAAGATGCCCACAAACAGCATCCAAGATCGGGAGTCGAACGAGCCCGTCGGATAGGTGCCCGCCAGCAGGTCACCGCAGACCACCACATAGAGGATGCAGGTCATCAGGAGCTCGATCAGCTGGGCGATGCTGACGGCCCTGGCCCCCAGTTTGGGCCCGAAACATACCTTGGCAATGGCCACGTAGCTGTCGCGCACTCGCACCATCTGGCCGGTGGTGGGGTCCGGCTCATAGAGGCACTGCACAAGCACCTTTCCCGTGTAGCAGCAGATGTGTGCAATGCCCACCATGGCAATGATGGCCCAGTAGCCGCCGTGGAGCACGGCGAAGGGCAACGATACGATGAACATGCCTTGGATAGCGTTGGTCACGTTCCATGCCGCCTGGTATTCGTCGATCTTGCAGCCGCCGCCACCTTCTCCCTCGCAGACAAACGAGCTGCCCTCTGAGGCGATGCTTCCTTGCCTGATCGGAGTAAGGATTGGGATTAGGCACAGCTGCGGGAAAGGAAACTGATTTCATAGGTACGCACCTGAAGCCGTCCGTCTGCTGGTATCTCCCGTCGTACTCATTGAAGGTTGTGCTCTGGTACTCGTTCTTGTAGTCGCCCTCGCCTTCGCCATCGCCTTCGTTTGACCAGTTGCCCGTATTCCGGAACGGATTCGAACTCATCTCCGTGGTCTGTTCACCGCCGTCCATGCCCGTGTCCATGGCCTGGCCGTGGCCGTTGGCGAAGTTTTGGTGTGGCTGATGGGGCCTCTGTTGGCTGCTGCCGGGTGGCTGTTCGTACTCCTTGCGCTCTGGAATTTGCTGTCGGGCCGTTTGCACGGCCACGTTCAGTATGTTCTTCAGCGGTGGCAATGGCGTGGCTTTCAATTTGGCTATGAATGACATGGTGAATGCTGGCGATGGGCTACGAGTTTACACAGAGCAGATGGTGGTGGGATGGTGAGTGGAGACAGATGGCGGCGGCCGCGGTGGTGTCAAGAAACGCGTTCGATCTGACGCTTATCGATTTTGCCTATGGATATGCCTGCGAAATAATGCTGCAATCGGAGTGCGGAGTGAGTTCTAGCTCCTCCGCAATTGGTGTCACGAATAGCTCGACTACGAATTACACTACGGAAAACCGCAATCTAGAAATAAAGCTGAATTTTGTCTGAGATTTTGGATGATTGATTTCGTCTACTTGGCGCCCTGGTGAATGGAGCAGCACGTTTATCATGCAGTTTTCAGATACTTGCACATCCTGCTCACTCAATCTCGATCCTGGGACTCGACGCCGTCCAAATCCAACTGAAAAGGCCGAAAACTATTGCGGAAATCCGTGGAAAAGTGTGTTTAAAATTTTATGTAACGTAAGAATTTCGTTTGTTCAGTGAATGAGAAAAGAAAATTGTACACTCCAATCTGATGATGATGGCGCCCACTGCGCAGACTCCTGTTCGCAGTATATATCGGGTGGCTGTCATATGGTCCAGGCACGTTCCACACGACTATGTGGACCCAAAGATGTGTTCCACCTTGACATTGACATCGATATGAGATGCGATTCGATTTGATTGGATTCGATTAATTTGACTGTACTTCTATAGCACGTGGCGCGTACTTTCTACTTTTCTTCGATGTGCGATTCGATTACTTCGACTATACTTTATTCATCTTCGCTTTATAAAACTTCTAAACATTGTACAATTTATTTGGATTGGATAATCTATATGGGGGTGGGGTTCAAAAAGGGACAGGACAACCTAAACCACTCACTAATCTCTAGTTACCAAAAATTACATACATATGTATAGTATATCCGATGCCGATCCTGAATCAGTTGCTGTAGCAGGTCTTGCGCACTCCGGCCAGGATGTTGCTAATCTCGTCGTCCTTCCGCTGCTGTTGCTCGAAGAGCATCTCCCCGACTCCCACTCCAACCATGCCCCCCCCTCCAGGGCCAAAGTGATGATGATGGGGGTGCTGTTGCATGGCTGCCGGATTCGAGGTCACTGTCTGAGCAGGAGGCGCTGAGACAGAAGGAGCAGGTGGTGTCTGGTGCGGAACCTGCTGCTGCTGATGTGTCTGCGTCTGGGACTGGGCCATGCCCTCATATCCCCCATAGTTACCGTAGTGGAGGTAGCTGCTCTGCATGGCTTGCGTTCCATAGGGACCGGGCGCCGTCTGCTGGAAGGGCACCGCCAGCTGCAGCGGGAAGGCCGCCAGGCCGGTGGGGGCGTACGGAAGCTGGGTGTAGTAGCTCGCTCCGCCGGATCCAGGGGCCGACAACAGCATTGCATTGTTGTACGCCTCCGCCTCGTAGTCGTCGTAGTTCTGATTTGTGTCCGGGTACTTGAGGCACTTCTGCGACGCGGATCCGTCCGAGGCGTTGTCCTTGTGTTGCTCGGCGGAGCTGTAATCCAGGTCGTTGCTCTGATAGCGGAGAAAATCCTCGTACTGCATACCGTAGGCATTGGCGCTGGGATTCGAATGGGGATGGGGATGGGGATTGGAAAGATATTCGTTGGCGCCCAGCAGTTGGTTGCTGCAGTTGTCCGACATGGACACGGTGTAGCCGCTCATCTCGCTGGCGGAAACAGTCACAGAGGAGGCAGAGGACGTGGCTGTGGATGTCGCCAAGTTACAGTGCTGCTGTAACACTCCCCCAACGCTGCCACGCATCGAGCCCTCGTCCTCTGATGCGGACACTGGCGGATAAAAGGTCCCCTTCACGGAGTGCCCATGATCGAGCAGCCCGCGATTGTTGCACGTTACGTACATGCCTCGGGCGGCCACCACCGCCACCGAAGTGGGGGCCAGCGGATAGGAGGCGGCGTACAGTCCCTGCTGTGCCTGTGCCTGCGCCTGCGCCTTGCTTTTTTCCTCCGCCTTGGAGAGTTTATCCTGACGCGCCTTGGCCGCTCGACTGGTCGGCGGCTTTGTTAGCTTCTTAAGCAGCAGGGAGCTGTCGTAGCTCCCAACGCCTCCCGTGGGCGAGGACTCTGAGAGCAGGGCGGGTGGGCAATTGGCGGCGAGCGACTCGATCTGCTCAGTGCTGTCCGCATTGCTGTAGCAGTCCACGGAGCTCGGAGAATACGTGGGCTTCAGCGGCTGCTCGTACTGATTCTGGTTCTGGTTGGGATTCTGGGGCGTGGAGGAGCACCTGCCCTCGTCGGTGGGCGTGTTATAGCTGGAGGAGGCGGTGGCCGTCGTCAGCGGCGGCGTGGAAAGCTTCGGTGTTGCCTTGCCCCCTCCTGCCCCGGCGGCAGGTGAGTTCTCTGCCTGATCCTTGCCTCCCGGCTGCATGGAGCGCAGCTTCGACTGCTTGCGGCGCCTCGGCCTGTACTTGTAGTTCGGATGCTCCGTCATGTGGATCACGCGCAGGCGCTCCGCCTCCTCAACATACGGCCTGCGGTCCTGCGGCGTCAATGAGCGCCATTTCTTGCCTGGAACGAGATGAGGAGAAGAGATTACAGATCCCTCATAGCTGACATTTTGGACGAGCTTAGGCTATGGATTCAGGGAATGATTAGACGCTCACCCAACATCTTGCTGAGGTCTGCGTTATGCAGGTCGGGATTCTCGTCGGCCAGCTT